AATCTAAATATCTCCAAAGACATATTTGCTGTGTGACCCTAGGTTACTTAGTTCACTGAGTCTGTTGCCTCACCTTCTTTGACAATGTATGCAAAGTACTTTTTAACTTTAAAGCACTATAATGAATGTCAGCACTTATTGTTAAACTAATGAGATCAAACTTGTCAATGTCCTTCCTAAAACATGGCCCCAGACATGAGCTTGGAGTGCTGATCTATGGAATGTGACCTGCACTCAATGACCTCCATGACCCTTTCCATCTTTAAAATCCCATTTTGCCTCCATATGCTTTCTGAACCAAGTTAAGCATTTTTTTTGCATATTCTACAGCTTCCAATTTCAGAAATATTTTTTTTGTTTCTCATTTACAGAATCTTGGGAGTCTAGAGGTGCTTTTGTCCATCCCCCTGCCCCAACTTCATTTCATACATGAGAAAACTAAAGCACAGGTTCGTCCAGGTAGCATCCTATTCAGTAGAGAGAATGGTGAAATGGAGAAGCCAGAGCTTTCACTAGCAATTCTAATGCAAGGGGTAAGCCCCTCAAAATGCACTTGTGGTCAAGGAGCTTTTGAAGACTTCCATTGATGAGGGATGGAGAACTCAAGATGCAGAGAACTCACGATAGCAGGAGGAAAGTACCTTTTAAAAGAATCATGGGAGTTGGGAGCATTGGAAGGGATCTCAGCAACCATTTAGTGTCACTCCTACCCTGAGGAAATCTCCACTATAAAAATGGTCATCCAGCCTTTACTTAGAGACCTCCAATCAAGGGGAAACCCACCACCTCTCAAGGTAGCCCATCACACTTTTGGATAGCTATCATGGTCAGGACTATTCTGTATATCAAGTCTCAATTTTTTCTCTTTGTGGTTTTCACACATTTCTGTTAGTCCTGCCCTTTGGGGACAAACAGAACAAGTCCAACAAACCCATTATGAAGTTCTGCTAGGAGACTAATGCCATCAGTCAGGCCAGGAACTCACTTGGGGTTTGACTGCTATTGGAGAAAAGTAGCTTTCTATTTTCAGTTTCCCATTGGCTAGGTGCTGAGTTTTTCCTACCTGGTGAAGGACAGTATGAGTTGTTAGCACCCTGTAAATGTTGACACCCTAGGACAAATCTTCATTTGCCCAGTCCTAGTTACAGTTCTATTAGACACCCTGTGTTTGAATCCCTGCTCGGCCACTTAATAGCTTCTTGACCATTAATTAGCCAAATCTATTCATTACTTTGGCCTTAGTTTCCTTGTCTGTAAAATGACACAAGGGGAGGGTCAATTACATGCTAAGATCTCTTCAGCTCTAATACCTCATCATTCATGAGGTGGAGACACTCACATACTCACAACTTAGGGGCACATCAAAGTTTAGAACTCTTTTAGAGTCTTTGGCCTCTCAACCCAGGTTTTCCTCCAACAAAACAGGATGTCCTTTCGTGAATTCTGTATCATTTTTTTTTTTGCTTTTTGCTGAGGCAATTGGGGTTAAGTGACTTGGCCAGGGTCACACAGCTAGAAAGTGTCAAGTGCCTGAGGTTGGATTTGAATTCAAGTCCTCCTGACTCCAAGGCTGGAGCTCTATCCACTGTACCACCTATCAATTCTTTTGTTTCTCTTTTATCTTCCCACACATAATACCTAGTCCATCCCTGTAAGGAAAAGGGTTAAAAAATGTGCTCCTCCAGAAACAATCTAATTCTAAGTAAGGCCAAGATGGCAAGATGATGTCCCCAAAAGGGCTTCTCTTTGTATACATTGACATTTCTTCCAATGAGAGCTCAGGAAGCATCCCTGGGAAAAAGTGACAGAGATATTATCAATTTGTTTTTCCTGTCTTCCTTGCCTGAATACAGAATTCCAGAGAAGAGCAAGGAGAGATAAGAAGGTTTTCTTAAATGAGTAATGGAAAAAAACAGAAGGAGACAATAGAATGGGAAAGAAAAGAGATTTCTCCAAAAAAAAATTAGAGACACCAAGGGAATATTTCCTGCAAAAAATAAGCATGACAAAAGACAAAAATGGTAGGGACTTAGCACAAGTAGATTAAGAAGAGGTAGCAAGAATACAGAGAAGATCTATACAAGAAAGATCTTGATATCACCGATAACCATGATGGTGTGATTATTGATTTAAAGCCAGACATCCTGGAGAATGGAGTCAAGTGGGCCTGAGGCCACGTTGTTAGCAATAAGGCTAGTGGAGGTGATAGAATTCCAGCGGGCCAAGAAGCAACGCTTAGAAGCCAACATGGAACAACTGATAGGTTTAAGATTGGAAAAGGCATATGTTAAGGCTGTATGTCACCTTATTTATTTAACTTACATACACAGTACATCATCTGAAATTCCAAGCTAGATGAATCAAAAGTTTGAATTAAGGTTGCTGAGAGAAATAACAATCTCAGTTACGCAGATGATACCACTCTGACAGCAAAAGGTGAAGAAAAATTAAGAAGCCTCTTCATGAGGATGAAAGAGGAGAGTATAAAAACTGGCTGGAAGCTTAACCTCAAAAAACTAGGATCCTGGCAACTGGTTCCATTCCTTCTAGCAAATAGAAGTTACATGTGTGTATGTGTGTGTATGTACATGCATGTCTGGATGGATGTATACGTATATGTGTATATTATATATAATAGATTTTATTTTTATTTTATTTCTTGGACTCAAAGATCGCTGCAGACAGCTATTATAGCCATGAAATTAAGACATCTGTTCCTTGGAAGGAAAGCTATGGCAAATCTTGACAGCATACTAAAAAGAAGAGATATCATCTTGCCAACAGAGATCCATGTGGTCAAAGCTATAGTTTTTTCAGTAGCAATGTATGGCTGTGAGAGTTGGACTATAAGGAAAGCTGAGCACTACAGAATTGATGCTCTTGAATTGTGGTGCTGGAGAAGACTTTTGAGAGTCCCTTGGATAGCAAGGAGGTCAAATCAGCCAATACTTAAATTAATTTGGGGCAGCTAGGCGGTGCTGTGGATAGAACACCAGCCCTGGAGTCAGGAGGACTTGAGTTCAGGTCCAACCTCAGACACATAACACTTACTAGCTGTGTGACTCTGGACAAGTCACCTAACCCCAATTGTCTCACCAAAAAAAAAAAAATTAACTGGGTCTAGAAGACATAATAAGGAAGGCTCTCATGGAAAACTGATGACAAAGGAGAAATCATGGAGCTGTCTTGATACCACCTATAGGAGTAGTATCAGGTGGTTCAAACCCATCCATGTTGGGCAATAGTGAAACCCACAGAGAGGAAACAAACCCATCACCTAATTCTGGCAGGGGAGTTGGCAAACTGAAGCTAATTGACAAGTCAAATAGTCGGAAGTCTAAATCACCTATTCCTGGTCAGGGCTTCTTTAGGAACTGAACGACCTTCTCCAGTGTCATCTGTCCATTCAGAAGGAGACTACCACAGGCAGACCCCTGTGTGGGCCTGGGAAGATCAGCCCTCTTCCACAGGTTCAAGGCAGTTCCCTTTCAACCCTTTGATGGTGCAGATGCTCAGCTGTACACTGCCAACATCGATCCCTTGTGCCCGCTCATCTGTGAATCAGGCAGCTGCTCACCCACCAAACAGGATGCAGGAGCCAGAGCCCGCCCCACTGCTGTCTTCACAATATGAGATGCTATCAGATGGTGATGAATGAATTATGCACAGATTGACACCAGGGGGGAGGGATCTTCAGTTTTGTGTGTGTGTGTGTGTGTGTGTGTGTTTTCAGTTGTGGGTCTAAAAAAATTGTCTCTTGACTTGTGCCTAAGGAGACTTTCCAGGAGAATGAGGGCCACACACGATGAAGAAATGATGGAATCTCATTTGGAGAGTCAAGTAGAAAAATGACTGTGATACAGCCCGCCAAGAGGATTTTAATAGTGCAGGGTGGGAATCCTGAAGATAAATATGTAAAGAGTTTCTAAAAAGTAGGCGATTCCTGTCCTGCATCTATTTGTAAAGAAAAGCATAATGTGTATAAATCATTCTTCTGTAAATAGAGATTACCTTTTTGCAGTGTTTTCCCCTCACAAAAAAAAATTAATTCAGAATATTCACTAGAAGGACAAATACTGAAGCTTAAATACTTTGGCCACATAATGAAAATACAGAACTCATTGGAGAGGCCCCTGATGTTGGGAAAGATTGAAGCCAAAAGGGAAAGGGGATGGTAGAGGATGAGATGGATAGACAGTGTCATGCAAACAACGAACATAAACTTGGACAGACTCTGAGAGATAAGTGGAGGACAGAAGGGCATGGCGTGCTATGGTCCATGGGGTCATGAAAGAGTCAGACACAACTGAACAATAAACCTTGCTTCAGATACATTATATTGAAGTCAAAGAGAAAAGATCAGTAGAACTGAAAGGCCCATCATGATGCAAAGAAAACTACCAGAAGATATCAAACAAAAACCACTTATGAAATATTTCCCCATCACAGATGTTTCAAAAATACCCTCATTTGATCACTCCCAAATGAGTTTCTTTCTGAAGCAGGCAAAAATTCTAAGATATTTAAATGGCTGCCTATTTTCAAAGAGATATTTTCCAGAGATATCACACATACCACCCATCTATGGCCCACAACTCTCCAGAGTGTAGCCTGAGCCAGATTAAAATGTAATTGGGAAATATTTAACAAAATAAATATATAATAAACCATAGATAATATTAAATTTTAAATCTAAGGCAACATGTGGACCACAGGGATCCCATTGTACTGATTAGTGGATCCATTTCTAGTTGAATTTGACACTGTTGCTTTTAAGGGGACCAAAGTGGATGACTTAAGGTGTTTGGTTTTATAAACACAAAAAGAGACTTGAGGAAATGGCCTTGCATCACGCATGGCCCAGATCTCAAAAATGGTTAAACTGTCAAGTCACTATTGCCAAACTTTTTAAAATTTAAACATATATTTATGTTTGTAAGGAAGGCAGTACCACTGATATAATCACAGAGGTTCAGAGTATAATCACAAACTTTTAAGTGTAAGGATGGATACACACTTTTAATGAGTACACAAGATTCACTATTACATCTTTATGAGATGTGAACTTCTTAACTGAGTCAAGAAGGGAATGAGTTTGAATATAGGTCGGCTGTGCCTCTGAAGGCTTTAAATAGCTGGAGGAATTTTAGTGGCAATTAAAAGTTGGAGCTAGAAGTGGAGGAAGAACCAGCCCCCTGAGAGGGAGTCATTTTGGAGTAAGAGAGAACTTTTTCTGCCTCCACCCCCACTGGCCACGTAATTGTAGCTATTCAATTACTAGGAGACAGAGCATCCATTGAGGAAAAGAAAGACCCTCTGAGAGAAGGCACTGATAAAGAGAGACAGTCCTCCAAAGGAGGGGGTAGCTTCTTAGAATGTGAACACTTATGGTGGAAAGAAGCAATGCTTATAAATTCAAGAAAAGAACAGGCTCTGGGAAATCAGCTGAGCAAGCTGACCAGAAAAGAGCTGCATCCAAGGTAAGTTGTATGAAAATCACACAAAAACAGAAGAACTTCCAGTACTAGGAATTGTAAATTACCCTTTACTATTCATGTAGCTACATGTGTGGCTCACTACTATTACATTCCATGTTTGAACCCAATCATCCCATGAAAACTGGGTATATATGTGAGTGTCTGTACCACAGGGTTTTTGTTGGGCAGTTTTTTGTGCCAAAGGTCTTTACCACCTTAATAAATGTCTGTGCTGAAAGTTAATTAAGTCTACTGACTGGTTGTTAATAGGAAACACACTGGTGGGGGCTCAGGAGCTATATAGCAATAGGAATAACCACCGAAAGGTTAATCACTAGACCCAGAGGAAGTAGCTATCATCTGGAAAAACCAAAAGATGAACAGAAGCATAAAAATGTGGAGAGTAGCCAGAGAAATTGTTTCATGTATTGTTCTTGGACAATAGCTTGTTGAACTTTTTAACATGCGATTTTTAACTTGAGTTGACATCCAGAAAGGTTGTTGCACAGATGAGAAAGCAGCAAGGCTATCTTTTCTCTAGTCCTTCTCATGGAGTGTACAGATGAGGTTCTTTCCAAAGATAATGAAAAGGGGTACTCTTAGATCTTCTGCGAGCATCGTAGAATGTTATAAAGAGTCCAGCAGCTCTATACCTCTAGAGGAGAGAAAAAGGTCACAAATTATATTGCTGTTCAGTCTTTTTAATGTTTTTCATCCTACCACCACACATAACCAGCTGCACAATCACCAGATTTTGTTTACAACTTTATCTTTTACTGACTTTAGCTGAGACTACTACTAGAATGATCATTCTTTTTTTGTCCACTTAAACATGTCCCAGTGAATTGCTCATTTTGATACTATTCCTTTTCATCTAGGTGGTACAGTGGATAGAACATCAGGTCTGGAGCCAGGAAGACTTGAGTTCAAATTTACCCTCAGCCACTTACTAGCTGTGTGACTCTATGCAAGTCACTGAACCTCTGTTGACTTCAGTTTCCTCATTTGTAAAATAGGGATAATAACAGCACCTACCTCTCAGGGTTGTTGTGAGATAATAACTGTAAAATGCATAGCACAGTATCTGGCACAATAATACTTGTTCCCTCTCTCCCTTTTTATCCCTAAAATATTTAAGCATCAAAAAAATTGATGATTATCTGCTATGGTCTTTTGTTATTTTCCATGAATATCAGTGTGGAAAACTCCCTGTTTGTAAACTCCCTCCCTGAATGGACATCCGTGATTCCTCTGTATCTCTATAGTCTTCAAAAGCTTCCTGGGGAGGGTTGAGGGGTGCTGAGAACTTAAGCAATTTGCCCTTTGGTCACACAGCTAGCATATGTCAGAGAGAAGTCTTAAGCTCATATCTTCGTGACCATACAGCTGGCTCTCTATCCACTATGTCACAATACTTCAAACTAGAAATTAACTAGATTTCTTGAGCACTATGGTAGCAGTGGATGGAACTGGTCAGAAACAGTAGATTGCTGATACCAAATAAGATTAAACCTCAATACAGAACCTTCAGATTTCAAAAAATATTCTCGTTTTGATCTCAATGGCATTTCAACTAGATTTGTGGACAGGAAAAACTTAACTACAAAGAAAAATCTAGTCCAATTCCTACCCGAGGATGGAATATGAAGGCAGCAATACTTATTATTTACCTGGTATCAGGGCTCATACATACTGAATGTGTGAGCATTTCAAGGCTATTTGTAATATTTGGTGATTCCCTATCATAAAGTTATTTCCTGGTGAAATCAATAAATGTTAAGGGAACATAGAAACTGACACAGTCCAATGTTCTCATGCTTTTAAAAGGGTCATTTCTAACAAAAATAATCTTGTTGGGCATGAACATTTTCATCCTTCAATATCATGAGTCACTAAACTTTTCATATGCTTTGCCCCCCAAAATACTACTTTTAACTCTCTACCCTGAAAAGACCAAAGAGAAACTGAAAGTACCAATATATGCAAAAACATTTCTAGCAGTTCTCTTTGTACTAGCCTAAAACTGTAAACTAGGTGGCCACCCACTATTAGGGAAGGCCAAACAAATTATGGTATATAATACTGTTGTTGTTCAGTTGTTTCATTTGTATGACTCTTCATGACCCCATTTTGGGGTTTTCTTGGCAAAGATACTGGAGTGGTTTGCCATTTCCTTCTCCAGCTCATTTTACAGATGAGGAAATGGAGGGACTTGCCCAGGGTTACATAGCTAACAAGTATCTGAGGCCAGATTTGAACTCATGAGGATGAGTCTTCCTGATTTCAAACCCAATGCTCTATTCTCTGTGCTGCCTATCTGCCCATATATAAATATAATGCAATACTATTGTTCCTTAAGAATGATGAAAGAGGTAGTTTCAGAGAAACCTGGAAAGACTTGTATGAACCGATGTAGAAGGAAGTGAGCAGAACCAGAGGAGCAATGTATACAATAACAAAAATTCTACAAAGGCAAACGACTTTGAAAAGCTTGAGAACTGTGATGAATACAATGACCAACCAGAATTCCAGAGGGCTAATAATGCTATCTACTCCCAACAAGAGAAGTGATGAACTCAAGGTACAGAATGAGACATGGACTTTTCAACAAAACCAGTGTAGGAATTTGGCTTCATTATGCATGTTAGTGTTTTTTCTTTCTTTTTTCTCTTCTTTAAATGGAATGAGGTATAAGAGAAAGAAAATAATTTTTAATGGAAGAAACTATCACGATACAAAAAAAATTTTTTAAAGAAAATGAATACTCTGAAATTAAAATGACCAAGTTTGAGATGTAAGAACACACCTCCATTTTTTTTGTGGAGGTAGGAACTATAGATATGGATGAAATATGTATAATATTAATTATAATATGATATTATAAAAATAATATTATCATTAATTACACTAATTATATTAGTAATATCATATGATATTAATTTGTTGCTATGTTCATAGTTTTTCTGAATTTTTTTCTCCTTTGGCATGAAAAATGATTCTCTGAGAGGGGAAGGAGAAGAGAGAGAAGTATTGGGAAATCTAGGTAATTTAGAAGCAAAATATATCAACAAAAACAAAAATCAATTAAAAATAATGTCTACTAACCTTGAAACCATTTGCCCTATGTACGTATTCACTCATGCTTTGTCCGTATGACTACAGGAAAGTAGACAGAGGGCTGAAATATTTGGTCAACTTGTTTCATTATAGGTGGTTTTAATGTTGACCAAAGATTACAATTGGTGCTTCTAGGATCCAGTCACTAAACCTCACTCTGTAGGTGAGTTGGGGACCAGTCAGGCTGATGAACTTTTTGGTCATGGTCTCTTTCTCTGCTAGGAGGATGCAAAAAACTATTTGATTCCATTGACCAAACAGCCCTGCTCTCTTGGGTTAACTCAGATGATGGGAGTATAATGAGAAAATGGCAAAATGACTCACTTACCCCTGTATGCCCACGGGCACTTTTCTGATACAAAGACTGTTCCTAAGAGACCAGAGATCAGCTCACCGGTGCAAATTACCAACTCAATGGAACTTACTAGCCCCTGAATGATGAAAATACTCAAGTGCCAGGGCACAATATGGGGAGGACTTTTGCAGTCTTTCCAAAATTTCAAATCGACTAGATAGTTCCTAGGTGAGAAAGGAGAAGGGAATTGATAAGATGAAATTGATTCTGCATCCTTTTTCTTGATGCTATTTACAATTAATTAATTTTTTTCCTGTAACTAAGTAATGGTTTTCTATCTCTGAACTCAGTTCAAAAATTCAGCTACCCTCTAACACGTTAATTTTAGAAACCCAGTTCTTCTGCTAATCACTGTCCTATTCTTGACTCAAGGAAATCTGTTATCTTTGGGGGATGCAAGTGGACACCACGGAGGATAGTCTAGTATCTTTACACTACCAAACTATACTTCAAGGATGTACTAACCAAAAAAGCTGGGCCCACTATCTCTAACCTTGTACGTGGACTCAATGAATTTTTCTTAAGTCAGAGGAGGTAAGGAGGAGACTGTTGCTAGCTTATTCCCAATTTCCAACCAATCATATTGTCCTCCACGACTCAACTTCATAACCAATCATGTCCTCACTGCCATGATGCTGCCAATCTGTAACCAATTGTATTCTTTCCCCACCTATGAAGTCCTTTTCTTTGTTCTATACTTCCCAAAAACTATAAAAGGAAAGTTGTTCTGCTCAGGATTTTTGGCTAAAATGGAGGCAGCCATAGACCTATTCTCTTGGCAGGTAGCAACCCTGTTAATGAAATGTTATCTTCCTCAGAGGGAACGTATTTCAGTCTATCTTTGTTGAATTTCATTTATAATATAAGGATGTTCATTCATCCTTTCATTTATTCAATAAACATTTATTGTCCACTATGTATAAGAAATTGTTCTAGGGCTAGGAACATAGGGGTAAAAAGTGACAGAGTCCCTGCCTTCAATAAGTCTATAGAATACTGGGAGTTGAAAGAAATGAGCCTGAGATATACAATAGGAAGAATTCACCCATAAAATGGAAACAAACAGCAGAATGGATTAGAAACCAGAATCTAACAATATGTTGTTTACAAGAAGCATACTTGAAACTGAGAGACATACACAGAATTACCATAAGAAGTTAGAGTGGAATCTATCCTGCTTCTATTAGCTGACGTTAAAAAGGCAGGTGTAGCAATCATAATCTTAGACAAACAAAAGCAAAAAATAAATCTAAAGGAGATCTAATTAAAAGAGATAAGCAGGGAAACTGCATTTTGCTAAAAGGTACTATAGACAATGAAGCAATATCAATACTAAACATATATGCACCAAATGGTATAGCATCCAAATTCTTAAAGGAAAAGTTAGATGAGTTACAGGAAGAGAGAGTAAAACTATACTAGTGGGTCAAAGAACAAATTATAAAAACAATTATTTCACTAAAGAGAATGACAACAAGACAACATTTCAAAATTTCTGGGATGTAGCCAAAGTAGTACTTAGGGGAAATTTTGTATCTCTAAACACATATATCAGTAATAGAAAGAGTAAATCAATGAATTAGACATGCAACTTTTTAAAAAAAACTAGAAAAAGAACAAATTAAAAACCCTTAATTAAACACCAAATTGGAAATCCTGATAATCAAAGGAGAAAGAAATAAAAATGAAAGAAAACCATTGAATAAAAATAAAACTAGGAGCTGGTTTTACATTAAAAAAAAGCAATAAAATAGCTAAACCATTGGTTAATATGATTAAAAGAAAAAACTACTAGCATCAAAATTAACCAGGGTGAATGCATCACCTATGGCGTTTAAATTAAAGCAATTATTAGGAGTTATTTTGCCCAGTCATATGCCAACAAAACTGACAATCTAAGTGAAATAGATGAATGCTTACAAAAAATATAAATTATTCAGATTACAGAAGAGGAAATGGAATACTAAAATAGCTCTATCTTACAAAAAGAAGTTGGAAAAGCCATAAATGAACTCCTTAGGAAAAAATCCCCAGGACCAGATGGATTCACAAGTGAATTCATTTGTTTAATTGATAGTTGTGTCTGACTGAGGTTTTCTTGGCAAAGAAACTAGAATGGGTTTCCGTTTCCTTCTCTAGTTCATGTTGTTGTTGCTGTTGTTGTTTTATTCATTGGTTCATTCTTCCTTCTCGAAGAGGACATCAGGAGGGTGATGTCTTAACTTGCAAGTGAATTGGATTTAAGTGAGGCAGAACCTTACAAAGTCATCAGCCTCATTCTCTCCTCTAGAGTCATCGGAGTCCAGTGGCAAGACATAAGTCCAGATGACTGGCAATGGCCCCCTCGGCTTATTTTATAGATGAGGAAACTGAGTCAAACCAGATCAAGTGACTTGCCCAGGGGTACATAGCTAGTAAGTGTCTGAGGCTGGATTTGAACACTAGCTGAGTGAGTCTGGCCAAGTCACTTAGCCCTGATTGCCTCAATTTCCTCATCTATATGGGCAGAGAAAGTAGAAATTGTCCAGAAGAATGTAACCAGCAGAGGTCCTTGTAATAGAGCGCATATCTAGATATTGCCGGCCCTTACCCTTTATGGAAAGGATACTCCCATTTATCAGCTCCTACAAAACATTTGGGACCCCTGTAAATAGCAAACAATGCTGTAAATAATCCATATGCTGATCCTAGGATTCCAACAGAAGAAAATATTACGGAATTGAAATTCTGGAAAAGAAAAAAAAAGAAGTTATTCTTTACCTCTTTGAGAATAACCTCACATGAATCACTGGTAGGCAAAGCCACTCTTCTGATAAAATGGATGATTCCAGTGATTTTTCATGTGAGTGATTGGTTTACTTTGAGGTTTGCAAGATGCCTTCCTCTCAGTAACCACATAAGGTCAATAATGCAAATATTTGTTGAATAATTTTAGTCATGTCCAACTCTTTGGGACTCCATTTGGAATTTTTTTTGGCAAAGATACTTGAGTGGTCTGCCATTTTCTTTTCCAGCCCATTTTACAGATAAGGAAACTGAGGCAAACAGGATTAAGTGACTTACTCAGGGTCACACAGCTAGTAAATGTCTGAGGCTAGATTTGTACTTGGGAGATGACTCCAGGCCTGGCACTCTATCCACTGTGCCACCCTAGGGCAAATATTACTATTCCCATTTTACAGGTGAGGAAATTGAGGCTCAGAAGTTATATGCTCAGCAAGTCACTTTATCTCTACATGCCTCAATTTGTTTCATCTATAAAATGAGGATAAAATTAGTAGTCCTATTTACTTCCCAGAATTGTTGTCAGGCATAAGTGATCTAACATCCAAAAAGTGCTTTGAAAACTTTGAAATTAGATGCCAATGCTGACTAGTAGTGAAAAAACTTTGTGTTGATTTTTTTTTTTGTCACTGGCTTCCAAGGTGTGTCTACCTTTCCCCCTTTCTTTCCCCATCTTCCCTGATGCCTTCCCAACTCACTTGGTCCAATACCAACAGAGTGCAAGCCTCCAAAGTGATACTGTGGGGTTATCTTTCTGATCTGCCCTAGGCCAGTGATGCCTCTGGGTGTTGCTGCTCCTTACTCACTTACTGAAAATGACCTCCCACATGCAGGATGGTTAAAGCATCCCCAGCAGTCAAAGTTCTTTAGCCGTAAGTACACAACAGCAGGGAAAAATATCTGTCAAGAGAAGGAAGAAAAAACAAATAGTGAGTTTGGGCAATGGGGAAAGAGCTCTAAGGTCCTCTAAGATGACAGCAGTCTCTGTGAGCTAACCACTGGAATGTCAGGGAACCATGAAGTACATCATGGACAATATTCTTTATTTTGGTCTTGAAATGGTCACTGAACTTGATTAAACATAGTACTGAAACGAGACAGGAGCTCACAACATCTAAACATGTACCCTCTTTCACCAGGTACATGAGGATGGTGAAAACTAAAAAATCTGTCTTCATTTGACAGAGAAAAAACCTGGTCTGGAAATCCTATGATTTTTTTTTTCCCTTTCTAGCAAGCTCGGTGATGTAATGGCCAGAGCGGAGGATCTGGAACCAAAAAGACCCAGGTTTGATTTCTGCCTCAAAGACTTTCTAGGTGTGTGACCTTTAATCTCTCTGAACCTCAGTTTCCTCATCTGTAAAATGGGGGTGATAATAGCACTTACTGTGTAGAGTTGTTGTGAGATCAAATAAGGTAAAGTTTGTAAAGTGCTTTGCACTTAAAGTGATCTACAAACATTAGCTACTATCATTAGGATTATTTGTACCCAAACAGCACAATCTATGCCTGGGACAAAAATACACTTTTGAGTCAACTTTTTAATCTGGGACCAACTGGAAGGGCTTCCACTCAGTTAATGGTAGAATGGACACAGGCTCTTTTAGCTAACTAGGTGTTAAGCTCACTTATATCCCAGTTGCTCAAAGACAAGAGCTCTTGGGATCATTTAAACTCGGTGCCCTGGGGAAAACTCCCATCACCCTTCCTATTTATAGCTTTGGATATAACTCTAATAATTTCCTGTTATTCAGAAGGGATACATACCATGTGAGTATATGATTTCTTTGGTGTTTTTATGGGGGAGGGGGAAATCACATTGTCTTCAATCGGGCCATTGGGAGACAGCAAACAGTCCATTGGACCAAAACAGTAAATAGTCAAGAGATTTTACTTTACTGATTTAAGAAGCCAGAGGGCACTTTGCTTATGTGAAGTTCTTATAAAGAACACACAACAACAAGGAAGTTACTGGGTTTTTAGTGGCAGGAAGGCAACTAGTCAACAAGCATTTATTAAGCACTTACTCTATACCAGGCACTGGGATATTAGAGACATAAAAAAAGGCAAAAATATAGTGCCTGACACCTCAAGGAGCTCACATTCTAATGAGGGAGACAATATACAAAAATTGTCCATACAAGGTATTTAGTCGTTTTTCAGTCATGTCCTACTTTTCATGACCCCATTTGGGATTTTCTTGGCAAAGATACCAGAGTGGTTTGCCATTTCCTTCTCCAGATCATTTTGCAGATGAGGAAACTGAGGCAAACAGGGTTAAGTGACTTGCCCAGGGTCACACAGCTAGTAAGTGTCTAAGGTTGAATTTGAACTCAGGAAGATGAGTCTTCCTGACTCCAGGCTCAACGCTCTGACCACTGCACTCCCTAGCACCCATACAAGGTATAAACAGTGTAAATAAAAGGTACTCAAAGTAAAGGTACCAGCAGAGAGCCAGACTCAGGAAGCAGCAGGTGAACATATCCCCAAATGCCTAAGTACTGATGAAAACGAAGGGACAGGAGCCAGTCCAATGCCCCAAAAAGGGGAAAACGAGTTGGGATTTTTGATTCATTTACTCACCAAGATCCCACTTCCCAGAAACCCTCCAAACTCCCAGGCCTCATCGGGAATTTTGTCAGTCGACACAAGCTGCATTCCAGGGAAAAAGAGGAGACTGTTGAGAAATATACTCGTCATCGCCAGAGGCAGGAGCGCCAAACCCAGGCACTGAGTGTACTCCGAAGAGCACATCGTTCTGACTGACGGACAGACGCCTCTCGCCTGGTGAGAAAGCAGCCTCCATAGACAGGGAGCTGCCGGTGCCCCTGGGAAAGGCGCCTGGACCTGGCTACGCCAGAGCTGGTGAGTGCGGTCCTGAGGGACTGCTGGGGGGCAGGGGACGGGATGCTAAGGGGTCTTCAACCCTGTCCTGGAGACAGGACTCTATCTGTTCTCAGATAGAGGCAGGACTCCCTTCAGCATTCATGGGCTCTTCTCTGACCTGGAAGCTTTTCAGTTTTGTGTGTCCATAAAGTTCATTACCTACTGAGTATTCACTTGGCCACGTGGACCAATACCTTGTATTATTATTCTGGCAATCCAGACCAAAAAAAATTGTGTAGCTGGAACTGGGAACTGGAAAGAACACGACTTCAGATCTGCTTTGCTTTCAGCTCTTACAGGTTCATACCCTTGTCCACTATGAAAAAAAAAAAAACAACATAAACACACACACACACACACAAAAGGGAAAGACATAATCAGGTGGCAAGAATTCAACTCCAGAAGCTCCTATCCTGTACTCATAGATGACAATTCCCTGTGCTACAAAAACAAGCCTCCAAATATCTTTGAGAATTCAGCAATTAAACATACCAGAAGTGGAACATTAGTATAGAGACAGAACAAACTGTCATCCACAACCAGTTGGGCATGACAGTGCTCCCTAAAATCTTGCAAACAATTTTTAGTAGCTATCATCTTGCTGAATGTTTGTTATATCCAAACTACATGGAATGAAAAACTTTCAAAATATAAAGACTGTGGAAGCAGAAAGAGGGGTCTTGTGTCTTTCGCTTTTTTCCTTGTGATTTTCATCATTTATTAAATTATGGACTGGGCGCAGTACCCCCACTTCTTTGGGTACTCGCCAGAAAAACCCATGATTGACAGTGGGAAATGAGGTGGCAATCACACTTGAATTAAACACAGAGAGTATAAAAGCAAGAAGCAGAGACAAGTGGCAAAAAGAGGAACAGAGGCAGAGAGAGAATGGGATGGGTGAAGGAAGGCAGGCAGCACAAGGGCAGAGAATGGGCACTGGGAGAGGCAGAGAATATCACTCCCATAACCATGATTAGAGTTGGGAGCACTTGGCAGGATGGACCTGATGGAGAGGGAGGAAGGGGCAAAAGTTTGAGGTCTCCTCTTCATTCGGTTTTTTGGGGAAGCAAATCAACTCTTCCCTGTACCACTTTGGGGTCAGTTCATTAGCACGTCCCAATCATCTCAAAGTTATTGATGAAAGTCATCACCTCAGTCCTCAGCATCTTTTGATGTTCTGCTGGTCTGGAGCTGTGGAAGCCTGGATTTTGTCTGGAATTGATCCATCTAAGGACCAGAAACCTTGACAGCTGTGCCTAGGTGATTTCCCCTGAATCAGCACATATTACCGGGATATGAATTTCGGTTAATATATGATACAGTTTGTAAATGATGCTCCTTCAATCTTTGGAATGATATGTATGTAACTTCTAGATTCCTGCTATTGCCACTTCCTATTGGTTACTTATAAGCTTACTATGAGGACTAGAGGTAAGAGAGGGTGGTCAGGAGGACCAAAATGAGATATGATTTTAATACAACCTCATTAAGTAACACAATCCTAGGTGTTGTCCTCTGTTAGAGTTACAGCAACGAGTCCCATTTTCCTTTGTCTTGGTTGTTTAAGCCCTCCTCACTTCCATCTGCCAGTGTATCAAAGAAAAACTCTTGGTTTGCATTTAAGGACTTCATACCTAGCTCCTACCCTTTCTTCCTAAGATTGTCAGAGATAGAAATCTGAATTCTGAAAAGGGTAGGGAGACCTAGAAAAGGGATATTAAAGAAAGGCGAAAAAAGAAATTAGAAAATAATAAATTATAAAAATAATTTAAATGATTAATTAACATTTTTAGAAAGAAATCCAATATGGTGGCAACTGTGCCTCACATCCTACTGGGGCTTTTAGAGACTTCCATATTGTATCTTCTTAACAGTGTTGGGGTGTAGTAAGACTGTCTCCCACATTTATCAAAGCTGTCTTGATATGGGGAAGCCAGAAAAGATGCATCTTTGGCATCCTCTCTGGAAGCTGGAAGTGCCTGAAGAGTCTCAAGATGCAAAACAACTCAAGAGACCAAATCTTTCCTGTCCTGTCCTTGCAAACTCCACCCTCGCCCTCACAGAGGCAGAGGCACTGATGTCCACCAATGAGGAGATCACACATTAAGGGTTGCCAAGGCTAACTCCTCTTCTTGTTCAAGTGGTCCCATTCCATCCCAACTCCTCCAAATACTGCCCTCTCTATCATTCCCACTTTTTCACATATTTGCAATCTCTCTCTCTCTACTGACTCCTTCTCTACCACCTACAAAAGTGCCCATCTCAACCCCATCTTAAAACAAACCTCACTTGATGTTTCCATCCCATCTTTTACTTGGAGTTTTCTCTAACCCCATTATTTTAGCACCTTCTCTCTGTTATAATTACTTATTTATCTTATATATAGCTCACTTCACATATATGTGTTTGTTTGTTGTCTCTTTCATTAGACTGTAAGTTCCTTGAGGGCAGGGGCTGTCTTTTGCCTCTTTTTGTATCCCCAGAGGTTAGCACAGTGCCTGGCCTATGTAACTGTGGCTAATGGCTTGCAAGTAAGAGCATTCCTGGTGGAGACATGCTAATCTTATTTTACTGAGGGTCCAGGGTCTTCCACTTTGGACAAAGAAGTAAAATGGCTTAACGGACTTGGAGTTACCACTTCCCAGTTGTTTGTGTAACTTTGGGCCAGTCACATAACCAAGCTTCAGTTTCTTCATCTGTACAATGTGGACAATAACAGTAACCAACAGAGTTGTTGTGAATCTCAAAAGCCCTAGATAAACGGGGGTGTAAAAGGAGTGCTCCATGAGACCTAGCAAAGCTGGAGGTGAGAACAGGCTGAAAGATAAAGACATGGAAATAGAAAAGAGGGGTGCCTTCCAATGCAGAGTACACATTCTCTACCTAAAAAGGGCCTAAGGCTTGAAGAATGTAATAGCATATGAAGAGAGCAGTGAGGTAATGAACTTGACTTTAGGGCAGAGATTGCTCATATCTTTGAATCTGGCCACTCATCTTCATAAGATCTTAAAAGGAGTGTGGGAAATGGAACTGGACTGCATTAGATCAATATTCCTAACCTGGTATCCAGAGAACCTTAGTGGGTCCATGGGTAGATTTCAATAGGTTCATGAACTCAGATGGGAAAAAAAAACATAACTTTATTTTCATTGACTTCCCATTAAAATTTAGCATTTCCTTCAACTGTGATTTTTTTCTTTTTAATTTTATTTCTTTTTAACATTTTTTTCTTTTTTAAGTTGTGAGTTCCAAATTCTATCCCTCCCTCCCCCACCCACTGAGAAGGCAAACAATATGATATCAATTAATATATATGAAATAATGCAAAACAAATTTCTGTGTCAGCCATATTCCCTCCCCCAAATAAAGTAAGAATAACAAAGAGAGAAAATTGTACTTCAATTTATCCTCAGAGTTCATCAGTTCTCTCTCTGGAGGTGGGTAGCATTTTTTATCATGAGTCCTTTGGAATTGTCTTTTATTGGTCAGAATAGCCAACTCTTTCACAGTTTATCATCATTACAACACTCCCCTTCCTGTACACAATGATCTCCTGGTTCTTCTCACTTCCCTTTGGATCAGTTCATATAGGGTTTTTTCTGATACCATTCCCCTCATCATTTCCCACAGCACAATGGTTTTCCATCACAATCATATGTCACAACTTGTTCACTCCTTCTCCAATTGATGGGCATCCTTTCGATTTCCAATTCTTTGTCACCACCAAAAGAGCTGCTATAAATATGTTTGTACATATAGGACCTCTTCCTTTTTTCTTTGTTCTCTTTGGGATACAGGTCTAGTAGTGATATTGCTAGGTCAAAGGGTATGTATATCAACTATAAACTTAAGGACAATTCTTCGGAGAAGGGGCCCCTAAGTTTCACCTGACTGTGAGAAGAGATCCGTGACACAAAGATGGTTAAGGACTGTGGCCCTAAAGCAAGGTGGAGCAGCTTACTGAGGGAAAGGGGCTTTGAGTCAGGAAGGATATTTGGAACAGACCTCTGTGAGTTCCTGCCTGGAGGCAACAACCTCAAAACTAGGGCTCTGGGGGAGTCAAAGGAAGAGGTTTCTGCTGATCCTAACTTAAGCTAAAAGGTCAATGAGCAGCTAGGTGGTGCCGTTGATAAAGCACTGGGAGTGGAGTCAGAAAAGCCTGAATTCAAATCCAGTCTCAGACACCTACTAGCTGTGTGACCCTAGGCAAGTCATTTAACCTCTATCTACCTCAGCTGCCTCTTCTCTAAAATAGAGATCACAATAGCATCTACCTTCTAGGCAAGTCATTTAGCCTCTATCTACCTCAGTTTCTTCATCTGTACAGTGGGGATTATTATTGTGCCTACCTCCCAGGGTTGTTGTGATGATCAAATGAGATAAAAATTATAAAGCACTTAACACAGTGCCTGGCACATAGTAGGTGCTATATAAATGTTAGCTAGTATTATTATTGCTACTGCTATCATCAACATCATCATTGCTCTTGCTGAAAGAATACCATCACAGTCCAGCTGAAGAGTATAATCTCACCCAACAGAATCCTATTAAAGTGCAAGCCCAGGAGGCCAGCAGATTGACGTTATCTATGAGAAGACTCCAGCGGCCAATCGGCCCCCATAGCCCAGAAGAGCAGGAGCAGCCCAAGAAGCCCGGAGGCCTGCCAGGCACCGTCCAGTAACCACGGTCCAGGGTGGCACCATCTTTGCCAATGTGACCATGGAGCTGGGCAAGTGAGCCCAGAGAGGGGTATTACATAAGTTTTTGTTTGTTTTTTGAGTTGCCCAGGGTCAGACAGCTAGTAAGTGTCTGAAGCTGGATTTGAACTGAAGTCTTCCCGATTCCAGGGCCAGAGCTCTATCCACCGAGCTATCCAGGTTATTACGTAAGTTAAAGAGAATTCAGTTTCGTTCAATCTACTCAACAACTACTAAGTTACTAGTTACCATGGGGGCAAAGAAAAAGCCACAGATGATACAATCTCTTCCCTCAAGGAGCATACGGTATTTGGGAAGAGAGATGAATAATGTCAGTATGTAAAGTGCCTGTGATTACCTCCATGTGGGAACAACCTCCCTATAACTTGTGGTCCCAAGAAGCTCAGAGATTAAGCGACTTGCCCATGGGCCTGGTGCTAAGGCAATGGGATCTCTGACTACTCAGTCCCACTCAGTCCCGCATTCTCCCCAATATACCACATTGCCTCTAGGGCTAAGAGATGAAATGATCTGAAAAGAAAACAAGAATTGTAGTCTCCAGCCTAGCGACATGCTTTAAGTGGGTTGTTTAGCAACTCAGCCTGTATTTTCCCACATAAATTAAATTATGAGTCATATTACATTATAAATGGGAGTCAGGATGCCCAGATTGCTCACCCAAGACCTGTTCAGTAGGTCTGTTGTTGTGTGTTGTGTGTAAAATTCATTCTCTGGGAAACTCATTTTGAGTTCCATCTCCAATGCTGAGGACTCCTAGATTTTAGAGATGAAAGGACCTTAGAGGCCAGATCTACTCCCACCCTTCATTTTACGGATGAGGAACCAAGGCCTCTAGAATGAAGTGCCCAAGGACCCACAGGTGTCCCTATTCCATCCTATTACCCTTGCCACTATAACTATTGGACAAAGATAGAGACTACAAGCCCAGCTCCAACTTTGATGCTCTGGAGGATGGAGAAGCAAGAAAAGACACATCCCCTGGCCTGGTGGAGCTTACATACTTGGAAGGGAAACAACCCTGTGCCACATGAAAACAACATAAAAGATGGTACAATAATTCATATATTTAGGTGTTGAAACATGTGGTTTTTAGCCAGGTTTTTGGCATACAATTCTTGATTCTCCCCCTATAGTCAACATCTCTTGCATCTATACTCTTGTACTTTACATAGGTTTTCTCAGTTTATCCTTACAACCAGCCTGTGAGATGGATTCTATCATTATCCCCATTTTAGAGATAAAGACACTGAATGAGAGAGCTTAAGGGACTTTCCTATGGTGACACAGCTAATTAAATGTCTGAAATGGGCCTTGAACTCAGCCCTTCCTAAAACCAAACCCAGCATTGCCTCCTTTCAGACACCTAGCTAGCTGCTTCATGGCTAAAGGGCTCGCCTTAGAGTTAGGAAGACCCCGAAGCACCTTGTAGTGCCTCTGACATACCCTAATAGAATGACTCCAGGCAAGTCCCCTTAATACCTAAGAGCCCTGGACATCCAAAGCGAAAAGTCATAGAACAGGTGCCTGTCCTGTATTGCTGGAGGCAAATTCCATGTCCCAAACCACAGCTTCTGCTCCAAAGGAAGGAGAGAATGCTGAACATCACTTTGACCCTCACCTGTGACCCTCCCTATAGAGAGATCTGAATTTGCACTTTGAAGCCCCACCTCCACCTGTGGGGCAGTGGCTAGGGCTTGGAGTCACTATAGAGCCTAGCAGGCAGTTTTCTACCTGTAACCCTGGGAAAGTCACTTACCCTCTATCTGCCTTAGCTTTTTCCACTGTTAAAAAAAAGGGGGGGGATTAATTATAGTGCCTTCTTCCCAGGGTTGTGGTGAGGATCAAATGAAATATTTTTGTAAGGCACTGGGATACAGTAGGTATTTAATACGTTTGTTCTTTTTTTTCTCCCTTCCCATTGCCTTCTCTCTGCTCCAAATGCACCACGCTCCCTGCACGTAGCAGATGCTTAACTGTTGGACTGGAAGTCTAATAAAAGCCAGCTCCCAGAATGTCCTGGAAAGTTTGGCATCAATTCCTAGGACTGCCAGGGAGAAAGGCTCCAATACCTCCCAAATACTGGGGTGGAGTGGAAGTCCCAGACAAGCAATGGCTGCTCCTGAGGTAGGCTCAGGGCCTGAGAGAAACAAGATAAAGAAATAGGATTTTTGCCCAATGTTTTTACCAATCCAGACCTCAGTATTGCCTAGATCCAAGCTCAATATTTTTACCTGAATGGTTCCAATTTTCTCCGGATGTTCGACACTGGATAAACTAGAGGTTCTTAACCTGGGTTCTATGAACTGGATTTTGAAAATATTTTGCTAAATGTATTCCAATATAACTAGTTTCCTTTATAATCCTGCGTACTTTAGGCGATTCAAAAATTTCATTCTGCCAGGGCCCAGGCTGCCTTACGGCTACGAACAGCTCCCATAGCCGTAGGCACCGTGTGCCCAGGCAGAGACCCCGTTTGGAGGTGATCCCCCCAACCTGTTTGGAGGCCGGTCCAGACTCTGCCGTAGAGCAGAACATTCAGTCCCCAAGAGCCCTCCACCCTCCATCCCCAGTCCCACAACCCCCCAAATTACTTGTATCTGCATTGAGTTTCTACTTACCTTCGTTTTCGTTGTTTCCTCGGGACTGGGGTGCGATGACTGTTGGCATTAGAGCGACTCTCAAGGAGCCAGATCAGGGGGCCCTGGCAGCAGTTACGGGGCTGCCTCACTGTACTGGGCTCGCGGGGATGGGGGTGGGAAGAACAAACCGCTGGTAAATCGGCCGGGGAGACTCGCGGTTGGACTGGCCGGGCAGTTGGAACTTTGGAAAGGGCTGGCGCTAACGGATGAAAATGGGAGCTAAGAACTAGAGAAGACAGAGATAGGGGGACCATTCCTCCTTGGAGCTCAGCTCAAGCCGTCACCTTCGAGAGGCCATTCCAAACTCAGACTCTTCCAATCACTATTTCTTTTGTAACCATCCTAGTACCCACCAGCGATCCAGTCATATCTCTCATCTCCAACATAAACTCACAGAGGGCAGATCCTTATCCCACCTCTCCTTTTATTTACTCCTGTACCTCAGCGCAGCACCTTGGTGGCTATTTCATGATTGATTCCAGGAGACACGGTAGGAGAGGAGGGGAGGACTGGAGCCTTTGAGAACTGACCCATCGAGGAGCTGAGGGAGGAGGGGAAAGGGTGAGAAGAGAGCTCAGTGGTTGGAGAGTCTGGGAAAGAGACCCAAAGCCACTGGGGAGAGAAGAGAGCCTTTGAGCACAGTCAGGGAGACATTAATTTCAATATCAAATGAGTTATTAAATGGAATTGAAACTTGCCTAGCAGAGTGGATTGGGTCTCGAGGCTCAAGAGCTATTGTTAGGCATTTAAGTTTGTATAGTTGAGAAGTTGTATAGTTGTATAGTGACCTGGGAGAGGTGAGCATATTTTGATTACCATTAGATCTTTTTTGCAGAAAGGAATATGAGTATGTGCAGAAAAGCACTGTATCAAAGGTTCAAAATATTATAGAAATATTATATATCATCGTAAAAATATATGTATTACCTACTAAAGAGAATCAAATCTATGATCTCATCACTTCTGGAGTTCCTCTAATGATGTAGATGGCAACCTCTCAGTACCTGCCAATCCATGGTGATCCTTCTTCATGTTCTACTAAAATGCAGACACAGGGAGCCCGATCAACATTTTGAAAGCTTTCCTCAATTTGATGACCAAGAATCAAGTTTTGAACTCTGGTCTTTCAGGATTGTACCAGTGTCCACACTGCCCCACCTAGACTCTAAAAGCTGAAGCTAGGTGGCATAGTAGACAGAGTGCTGGTCTTGGAGTCAGGCAAACTTGAGTTTGAAGTTCTGCTTCAGACCTCTGCTGGCTGTGTGAATTTGGGTAAGTAAAACTATGTCTCCCAAACTCTGTTTCTTCATCTATAGAGTGGGGATAATAAGACAGGATTGTTCTAAGAATCAAATAGATTAATCTGTAAAGGAATTTGCAAACCTTAGAGTCAACCAATCAAACATTAAGTGTTTGCAATGTACCAGGGTGGGGATAAAGAGAAATGGGGGAAAAACCCACAGTCCTTAAACTCAAGGAGTTCACATTCTGATAGGGAAAACAACATGCAATTATGTCTGCACAGAATAAATAACTATGTATGGAATGTAATGTCAGAGAGAAGGTACTTGGGGGTGGGAGGGAGAAAAGAGTGGAATGAGGAAAGGCTTCTTGAAGAAAGTGAGTTTTGAGCTAAATCTAGAAGGGACTGGACTGACCAGGTGTAGAGAAAAGGAATAGGAATCAAATGACAGCTCTATTGCTCATACCCAAGATTGAATCATCGATCCAGTGCTTACTGAGAAGGGGACCTGTACCTAGGGTCGGAGGAGCAGGTAAGGGATGGTCACAAACCTCAAGCTGTGTACTAAGTAAACAGAAGCTGTTTGGCTCTGGCCCTGGAGTAGAGTCTTGGATTCAACCCCATTGTTGGTCTGAGGTCTGCACCTCAATAACCAGGGCAAGAAGCTCAGAATAAGGGCTAGTTTATGAGGCTGCAGCCAGCAACAGTCTACTGGAGCTCCAACCAGGGGACAAAGCCACAGTTCTGTTGCCTAGACTCAGACTGAGGTCGGACATTTGCAAAGCTGACTAGGAGGGCAGCCTTTAGACTTTGCCCATTCAGGTCCCTGGCCAGAGCTGCCCCTGAAATCCTTGAATACAGCACTCAACACTCAGAGAAAGTAACCCAAGGACCCAGAAACATAAAAACAAAACAAAACCAGGGGCAAGCAAAGTTCAGAACTTCATACATAAAGCCAAAACCCTGTGTATATGTGACCATTTTATCATTGAGTGCCATAGGGTATATGCCTAGCCACGGCCTCTGGGTCGGAGGGTAAGGACTTTTTTAGTCACTTCCTTAGCAACATTTCAAATAGTTTCTAAATGCACCTGTCTTTCCATAATCCCTCTAAGATCAATTTTGCCATCTTTTGTCACATTTTCCAATTTTCTAGATGAGGTGAAACTTTCCAGTTCATTTCATTTGGAGCATTTTAATGTTCTATTTAATAGTTTCCAGTTTGAGAATTGTTTGTTCATGTCTCTTAAAGACCTATCCATTGGGGAATAGCTTTTGGTCTTAAATATTTTGTTAGTTCTCTATGTTTTTTTATATAAAACCCTTACCAGAGATACTCGATGCTAAGATTTTTTTTCCCTAGTTGACCACTTCCTTATCTTAGTTGCACTGATTTTGTTTGTACAAAAAAATTTTAAGGATACGTGAATTGTATGTTTTTATCTTTTTGCCATCATCTCTGTCTCTTGCTTTGGTTAAGAACTCTCCCATTACCAATACATGAAAACTACCTGATATGGTTACCTATGGTACAAAGTTTAATATTCAAGCAGATATCCATTCTGAGCTCATGATATAAGACTGTGGTCAAATCTATCTTGTGCCAAACCTGTTTTTCAGTTATTCTAGTAGTTCTTATTAAAAAGTTCTTTCCCAAATACCTTGTGCTCTGAAAGTTTGCCAAATACCACATGCTTGAATTCAAGAATTTGTTTCATAGTTATCTAATTTCTTTTCCTGACCCGCTTTTCTGTTTTTTAACCAATACCAAATAGTTTTAATGATTACTGCTCCATAGTATAATTGGGGGTCAGGAAGTGTTATTCTTCATTTATTCCTCCTTTTTATTTTCACTGTTTCTCTTGAGATGCTATTCCTTTGGATTCCACAAATGAATTATTTTGTCTAACTCTATACAAAGTACCCCCTTTTCTAGTTTAATAAGTATAGCACTTAATCTGTAAATAAATTTAACAGCAATCTGCAAATTGCATTGGTAGGGCCCAGTCACCAACAGTAAGTATCATTCCACGTATTTGAGCTTTAAAGAGCGATTTTCAATTGTTTCTATCTATAAAAGTCTTCTGTTTGCCCTGGTAAATTGACGTCCAGATATTTTAGGTATTTTGAATGGGAGTTCTCTTTTCTATTAATCCTTTCCAGATTTTGCCATTATATAAATATTTTGTAAATTGTTTGTGGGTTTATTTTGTGTCCTACTACCATAGTGAAGCTATTACTTCAGTTAGTTTTTGTTGATTTTCTAGAATGTTCTAAGAAAGCCATTGTCATCAGCAAGTAAGAATTATATTGTAATTTTTTGCTTATATTTATTTATGCCATTAATTTCTATTGTCTTATTGCTATCAGCAGCATTTCTATAACTGTCAAATAACAGAAGGGAAAGAGGGAATCCTTGCTCTACTTCTACATTTATGGGGGGGAAACAGTTTTCAAACTGATTATAACACTAGCTTTTAATTTTAGATACTTTAATCATATTAAAAATAGTCATACTCTGCTTTGTATAGATTAGTGTCATTTTGTTAAGGGTTTTTTCTATACCTATTTATATAATTATGTGGTTTTGGACACTTCTATTTTTAATAAATGATTAACTATGTTAATTGTTTTCCTAATGTTGAACCATCCACACATTCCTGGTATAACATCAACATTTTACACACACACACACGCACACACATACAGGCATATGTATGTGTACAGATACACACATGTACATACTATATGTAGTTTTGTGTGTATATACTCATGTCCCTGGTATAATGCCAACATATATGTTTATCAAGGAGATTAAATAGTAAACTCAAATATATAGCAAAATATTCATAGCATGGGTGTGCGTGTGTGTGTGTGTGTGTGGTACCAGAGGACTGGGGAAAAGAGTGGGCATCCATTAACTGACTACCAGCTGAGCAAACTGGCACATACGAATGTTATATGTATATACATATATATATAATATACAATGGAATATAATTGTGCAGGGTCACAAGTAAGAAGTATTCAGAGAAATATGGGGAGAGATAAATTGATACTGGGTGAAATGATCAGAGGAACACTATCTACAATGATGACAATGATGTAAATGAAGAGGAAGCTGAATCCTGAGTAAAGCCCTGATCAGTCCCAGTAAACAGATAAGATATACTCTTCTTGTTAGAGAGGTAGAAGGCAACTGGGGCCGATTGTTTCATATGTCGTCAGATGAGGTCGCTCACTGTATCAGTGACTTTTGCTTAGCTGTCAAAAGAATGGCTTCGGTTGTGAAGGGGCAGGGTAGAGCCAGAAATGTATGATATGAAAGCCCAAGATATCAATTCAAAAGGTAAAGTTAGTGATTAATAAAGTTTTAGTGTCAAGTAAATCAGAAATCACTGACTGCTTCCGTTAGTGTTTATTATTTTCTCTGAAATGCTGGTGAAGAACAGAAAGTGTTCTTAGTACTTTCTTCATTTTGGTGCCCTGAGACAAAGCTCCACTTGTTCAGCCCTAGTTGGGGCCGTCCCTTTAAATCGGATCATTGTTCAGTCACTGACTAGCTATGCAACCTCAAGTTGAGCCAGTCATTTAAACTCCATAGTCCCAGCTTCCTCATTTGTAAAATGGGGCAGAGAAGGACATCAATTACAAGATCTCCTAGGTCTTCTCAGCCTTGACATCTTGAATTCATGAAGTAGAATGGTCACTAAACTAGTAAGAGTCAGAACCAGACTAGAATCCAGGTCTTTGGCTTCTCAGCTTAAGGCTCCGTCTACCAAATCACTGCAAGTGCAGTGAACAGAGCATGGAGTTACAAAGATCTGAGTTCAAATCTGGCCTCACACACTTAGATGCGTGACCCTGGGCAAGTCACTTAACCTCTGTTTGCCTCAGTTTCCTCAATTATAAAATGGGGATCATAAAAGCACATAATTCCCAGGGTTGTTCAGAAG